TGTTCACATACGACTCTGCAGGATCAACACCTGCCTGAGGGAAAATGAACTGAGTCCACAGTGACCTCTGACTTACACAGGGGCTGCCAGATCCCTGACTCCCCCGATAAGTTAAACCACTAAATGCTCTCCCACTAACTCCAGTATTCCTCCTGGCTCCCCAGCCTCCCGGGACAAGCTGCAGCAGGAACTGGTGGGATGTTTGTGTGCATGTTCCATCAGGATCTAACAGTGTCCTTGGAAAATGACAGTCCCAAGCCCTGACACTCCCCAGGCCGCTGCCCACGGCTCCTGCGGGACATGGGTGAGGTGGGTGCCCGGCTCCTGGTCATGGTGCTGGGTCTGTGCCCACCCCAGGGGTACTAGTGCACACTGGCGGGGGGGAGCAGAGCCGGGAGGGCTGGCCGGGGGGAGCACTGCTGCATGGCTCGCTTTGTCACAGTGCTGCACTTCTGCAGGATCTCGTGGGCTGAGGGGCGCGCGGGCACCTTGGGGACACAAGTGGCCAAGTCTGGCTCAGCGAGGGAGTAACTTAAATCAGCTGTGGATGACTCCACAAAGCCAGAATCGTTCCTGTCCTCGTGAGTGAGGCGTGGAGACTTGCTGCTGTTGGTGGCCAAGGTGTGTTCCAGGGGGGAGCTCCTGCCCTGCTCGACTTCGGGCAGAGATCTTGACAAATCGGGCTTCCAGCTCAGCTGGCCGTCCCCCTCACTGCTGCTCCCCGAGCTGAGGGACGAGCTGTCTGACTCCAGGTCTGGGGTGGAGCTGGCCCTGGGCAGAGACCTCGATCTGCTTCTCTGAGAACTCACGTCCTCCTCAGTCTGGTCAAAGGAAGAGGAAACCTGCACCCTGTGCTGTCCCATGGCTTCTCCCCGGCGCTGGAGAACCGTCAGGGAGGAGCAGAGGTTTGGGGTGGAGACGTTCAGCCCACAGCTCATGATAGTCTGGAGCTTGTGGTGAGGATTCTTGTAGGGCTGGAGGCACATGGAGGGCATGTAGCCAGTGTGGCCGTTGTATCTGAAGGGGAAGGATGAAAAGCAACACTGAAAAGAGCCCTTTGGCCAGCTCAGACCAAGGCAGGGGAGCAGAGCAACCAGGGGAAGCAGGTGAGGACTCAGCCCAACGCTGAACATGGGGCATGAGGAAGGGGAAAACCATCCCTAGCCAAGGACAGTCAGCTCAGGGGGCAGGAGCCAGCAGGAAGCACCTGCAGCAGGTAACCAGCTCCTTGGGGCATGAGAGCTTTGGAAGAGTGTCCTTACCGGATCAGCCACCAGCCATCGTCAGATTTCCTGACCACCTCCACGACGACGCCGTTGTTCAGCGAGAGCTCGTCCGCCTTCTGCGACTCGTAGGCCCGCACAACAAAGTACAGGCTGCCTGCAGAGAGAAGGGGGAGCTGGATTTTGCCTTGTGGAGAAAATGCTGCTGTCCCTGTGACCAACCAGCTCAGCAGCCCTGGGGAGCAAGCAAGAGCTGCAGGACAAGTGTCCCCGTGAGTCACTCGTTTGCTCAGCAGCTGGTGGCAGAGCTGCTAAGAGGAGGCAGAGCTCCAGAGATCCAGGCAGGGACTCCAAGTAATGGTTAAAGTGGTGGGATTTTTACAGAACTCATCTTTTGAAGGGGGAATGTGGTGTCCCAGGGAGCCAGAAGCAGACTTACCCTCCTCGTTTGAGCTCAAGGCATTCTGGATGTCTTTGTGGACATCAATCTCTTCCAGGTACGAGGCTGGGAACCAGGCTATCTGCTTGTCTGCGTTCTCCACCAGCCACCATCCTGCAGCAAACAGCAAAAAAAAGAGAGGGGGTTTTAACAGCCTGCAAGTAAGTAGCCAGATGACCTTTGAGAAGGGCAACGGAGCTGGGGAAGGGTCTGGAGCACAAGTGTGCTGAGTTCCCTTGTGGCTGAGGGAACTGGGGTTGTTGAGCCTGGAGAAAAGGAGGCTGAGGGGAGACCTTCTGGCTCTGTGCAAGTCCCTTGGAGGAGGGTGGAGAGAGGTGGGGGTGGGTCTGTTCAACCAAGGACCAAGGGACAGGACCAGAGGAAATGGGCTCCAGTTGTGGCCAGGGCAGTTGAGATGGGATGTGAGGAAGAATTTCTTTGCTGAAAGGGTTCTGAGGCATTGGAAGGGGTTGCCCAGGGCAGTGGTGGAGTCCCCATCCCTGGAGGGATTTAAAAGATGAGCAGATGAGGTGCTCAGAGATCTGGTTTAGCAGTGGACAGGTACAGTTGGACTCCATCTCAAAGGTCTTTTCCAACCAAATGATTCCATGAAATCTCTGACCCCTGGGTAGGGGCTGCTCTGCCACAAGAGACAGGAGGGACATTCTGCAGAGCAGCTCAGCCCCTGGCCGTGCCACGCTGACACTGTTCTTTCCTCCTGTGTACGTCCAGGTCAGCCCACCACGTGTACAAACACCCACCCACCCCCGTGATGCTGCCAACTCGGCATTTGCTAAGCTATGAATCCATCTCCACCACTCACCCCTGAAACTGAAGCACCCCTGTCACACATACCCGTCATGTCCTTGATCAGCACTTCAACAATCTCCTTCTTGGCCACTTTGAAAATCTTGTTCTTTGTGTCTTTGGTCTCAAAGGTTTCGATGCATCGGTAGCTCTGGGATGCCTGGGGGTGTGTGATAGAGGAGAGCTGCTGCTGCCCCGCCTGGTTTTTCTTTTCCCCTCCAATTTCTGATGGCATGATCACAACACTGAAAAGTGAAGTTTAAGGTCAGTTTATTGAAAACTCCCATGGAAGGTTGAGTTTAGTATTAATTACTGTGCAGTGGGCTGAGAAAAGCTGAGGCATCAGAAACACAAACATGAAAGCGTTCAGTAGAACTTCCCAGCCCTGCTGCCCCGGGGTGGAACCTGTTTCTCTTCTACCTGTGCTCTATAACATTTCTGTTTCATGAAAAGACATACAAACAAAAAATCCAAATATGATTTCCTACCTGTTTTCAGGAAAGGAGGGATCTAGATCTTGGGTCTGCGCCTTGAAAAACTGAATCACACTTTCACCCTGAGAGATTTTAGCATCTGTTTTCAGCAGCTCCTGGGAGTAAGTTTCCAGCAGTTTCAGTGTCTCCAGGCACCTGTTCAGCTTCCTGCTCTTCCTCTGCTTCACATTCACATCTTTAAAATAACAAGAGCAAAGTTGGTGTAAGAAAGACACCAACGGATCTGGGTGCCCTGGGAGCTGCATCTTTTGCCCTCACCCCCCACCCTTCCCTGCACAAGAAGCCGAGACAGAAGCTGCCTGTGCCTCCACATCGTTTTTATTAGTGCCTGATACAATCTTTGAATAGCTAAAATTTATCTTTGTTCACATATAAATGGTGCAAGGAGCTCTGGGTCAATATTTAAATGACAATATTAATTTACCAAATGCAATTATCTATTAAAGAAATATTCCTGGGTTATTTTAAGTCAGTAATAGCCCCAAGCACATCGAGGGAACCCAGCAGCACCGTGCCAGGAGCAGGACTGAGCTGGTGATCCGTTCCAGAGGAAGGTCAGACTCAGCCAGGACTGTCCCCAGCAGTTCTATCGTGGTTGTTGGTCCATCAGAGG